TGGACTTTATCACCAAATTGACTCGGACGGCGCGCAGGGTGGATTCGATATGGGTCATCGTGGATCGACTAACAAAGAGCGCACATTTTATCCCAATTCAGGAGAGTATCTCTGCAGAGAAGTTGACAGACATCTACATTCGGGAGGTTGTGGCACGTCATGGGGTGCTAGTTTAAGTGGTCTCTGATAGGGATGTTCGATTCACTTCCAAGTTCTGGAAGAAATTCCACGGGGACCTAGGGACTCGTCTGCACTTCAGCACAACTTTCCACCCGCGGGCTGATGGTCAGAGTGAGCGGACTATTTAGACATTGGAGGACATGTTGCGGGCATGTGTTCTGGATTTTGGCAGTAGTTGGGATACGTACCTTCCGCTAGCGTAGTTTTCGTATAACAACATTTATCACACCAGCATCGATCGACCTCCTTTTGCGATGCTCTATGGGAGGAAGTGTAGGGACCTGATATGTTGGGGTAAGTTCGGTCAGCGGGTTATGGGAAGTACCGAAGTGGTACTCAAGACCGAGATGATTCAGCAGGTTCGTGGTAGACTACAGATATCGCAGAGTCGGCAAAAGAGCTACGCAGACAGACGTCGGTCATACTTGGAATTCCAGGTCGGGGATATGGTTCTCCTGAAGGTATCATCTTGGAATGGTGTCATCCGATTCAGGAAGAGTGGCAAGTTGGGCCCTTGGTACATCGGTCCTTTCAGGGTTTTGGCCTGGGTGGGCAGGGTTGCTTATCGCTTGGATCTACCCGAGGAGCTTAGCCAGATCCATAACACGTTTCATGTCTCCCAGCTGCGGAAATGTTTGGTTGATGATTCCGCGATAGTTCCATTGGAGGATATCCAGGTGGATGATCGCCTGAATTATATTGAGAGACCAGTGACGATCCTTGATCGAAAGACGAAGGCGTTGAGGAACAAGGTTGTGGGTTTGGTGAAGGTGCAGTGGCAGCACCGAAAGAATTCAGAATGGACATGGGAGCCTGTGGATGAGATGAGGGAACATTATCCAAAGTTATTTGCAGCGGTGGACTTCGAGGATGGAGTCTGATTCAAGTGGAGGAGAATTGTAGCATCCGAATCCTTGAGGTGCTTAAATATTGAGTTCTTTCATTTTGGTGGTCTCACGACGAGAGCCATAATGGTCACGATGTGAGTGACCATTGAGCATTTGACCCTCATTTTTGAATCTCATGACGTGAGCATGAGGCCTCATGACGTAAGAAAAGGCCTTATGACCCAAAACCTTAATTTTCGAGTATTTAATGGAATGAGAGATCTGGGGTTGCCCATCCTCAACCTCCCTCACTCCCTAGCCTGCTGAAAACCCTAGATTCGACCTCCTTGAGACTTTTGGCCATTGTTGGTGATCTTGAAGAACTTATTTGGTGGTTTTTAGTCCTTTAAAGTGGAAGAAGGCTCTTGTGGTGCTTCATTTTTGCAATCTAGCTTCTACCTTTTGGTCTTGCTGAGCTTTTGGACCTCTATAAGTCATAAAGCTCTTACCTTTTTGCCTCATGGATGTTAGATCTAAGTTTAGGAGCCTTTCTTTGCATGGTTGGGTTGTGTAACATGCATGAGATCTATAAAGTTGACAACTTTATGGATCATTGAGACATCTTCTGTATATGAGGCCTTGGATCTGAGTTTTGGTGTTGGTTTTGGACTCCAAGCATGAGTCTTGATCTCATTACCTTTCTTTTGACCTACTTAGTGTCTAAGTCATGCATTGCACATGCATGACTGAAAATCTATGATTTTTATAGTCCTTAGGGTCGAGGAAGGTGTTCTGGAAAGTACCAAAGTATGTCTTAAAGGATTAAGAGCTTAATGCTCAAAGTTGGTCAGAACCAATCTCACGACGTGACAAATGGGAATCTCACGACGTGAGCAAGGTGGTTGTCCCAATCTGAGGATTCTATTGGATGAATGTGGCTGAGTCCACTCACTAAGTGGGACCGGGTCAAGTCCATTCTCATGTTGTGATCCTTAGTGGTCATGACGTGAGGGTAAGCTGAGGGGAAAGTTGACCTTTGATCATAGACGTTGACTCTTGATAATACCTGACTTTTGGTCAACTGTTGGTTTTGAAGAGTAGACTTAAGGTTTGCCTTGCATGATTATCTAGGTGTGGTGTAGCACCGATGTAGCTGACCATGAGAGCAGCAGTAGTTGATTATCGACTAAGAGGTGAGTTTCATTCACTATACTCGTGGGTCGAAGGAATCAATGCCGGCCCACTAGATTATGTTTGTAGGGTGATGATTGTCTTCGTGACAATTACATGTTATGCCTGTATATGCTAGATGTCTCTGTGACTCTTACTGTTTTTTATTGCATGCTAGCTGTAGGGGTGAAATAGACCCGATACCGGTTAAAAGAGACCGAAGGGGGTGAAATAGACCCAGTATCGGTTGAAAGAGACCGAAGGGGTTGAAATATATCTGGTACCGGTTGAAAGAGACTGAAGAGGTTGAAAAATACCCATATATGTTTTACTGTTATGTATGTATGATATGAGGTATTTTGGGAGAGCTCACTAAACTTTGTGCTTACAGTTTTAGTTTATGTTTCAGGTACATCCAGGTCGAAGGGGAAGGGCCCGACTTGATCGCACCGCGTTCGCCCATATTTTCTGCGTTTTGTGATTTTGGGATTTGTACTTTGATATTATAACTCTATGATACACTTTTGATTGTTTTGACATGATGACTGGATGTTTTGAAATGAATTGAAAATGAAATTTTTGTCTTTAAATTTAGGGATGTTACATTCACTTTTAGCGACGTCATATTTTTAGCAGCGACATCAAACCGGATACGCTCGGTGTCATTGCTAAAGCGTTCGTCGCCACTAGAGACATCGTCTCTAATATCTTTGACCAACGATACGTGTGGTGTTACCGAGAAAGAATCATGGCCCTATATTTGTACATTGATCCAACGGAAAGGGTTTATCTTCGTACATATACAAAGCGGCGACAATAATGAAGGTGGCACCATTGCCGTTAATACTCCTGAAAAAAGCCTGCGCCCATTTCCCTCCAAGTCATTGCTGCTATTACCTCTTTGTCGCCGCTATTACCTCTATGTAATGCAGTTTTTGAATTATAGTATTTCTGCATTTATATATAATATAAATTATATAAAATATATTATTTAAAAATAATAGCATTAGTGGCAATGGCATTTCCGATGCACAATCCTTTTAGCTTTGTCGAGAATAAATCGTATCCCTATGTTTGTACGGTGATCCAACGAGTATGATTTATCTTTGTATATATATACAATAATGGCGATAACAATAGAAACGACACCGTCACAACTAATACTCCCGAAAATTCCCTCCCTCCAAGTCATCGCCGCTATTAACTCTTTTGTTGACGCAATTACTAATGCAGTTTTTGAATCACAATATTTCTGCATTTATATATAATATAAATTATATAATTTTTTTTTAAATAATGGCATTAGCGATGATGACATTATGATGACATTTCCGACACATAATCCTGTTAGCGACGACATTGAACTCCAACAACGGTGACGTAGAATTCCGGTCGGTGGACCAGAATAATCAATAGTGACACCTAATCTACTAGTAACGTCACTTTGTAGCGACGACAACAATAACGACCTCATTTAAAGCTACAAAGCAACAGTGACGACCACATTATCGACGACATGTCGCCGCCATAATAATAGCGATTTTACTTTCCTTTTGCGACGTTTTTTGTTGCCGCCAAAGCTATTTTTTTGTGTGGTTTCAAAATAATATTTTTACAAATATATTTTTTACCGAAATCAAAATCTTAAATAAACTAAAATATATAACTTTTTTTTTGCTTATTTTTATTTAATAAAAAGTTTGTCTCGAATAGCTAATATTTGGAAAACAAACACTAATTAGTTAATTTTAAATTTAAAAATCTTAAATGTTGTATAAAGCTTTTTCACATAGTTTATATTTTTTTTAACTTATGTTATATTTCCAAAAATATAAAAGATTATAAAAATTCCACATATATGATTATAAGCATTAAAAATAATAGATTTAAATTTTAAATAGAACTAGTGTGTATTCTTGTTTATTCTGTATATAAGATTTTTAATAACACTTTTTTTAATCTTATTAGCAAAACCAAAAAAGAAAAGAGGGAGAAAGAAGAAAATTAAAGAAGATGATGATAACATAGAATATGAAATTGAAGGTATTAACATATATATATATATATATATATATATATATATATATATATATATATATATAAAAGATTTTTAGTAACATTTTTTTTTAATCTTATTAGCAAAACCAAGAAAGAAAATAAGGAGAAAGAAGAAAATTAAAGAAGATGGTGATAGTACAGAAGATGGAACTGAAGGTATTAACATATGTGTATGTATATATATATATATATATATATATATATATATATATATATATAATTTTATATAAAATATTTTTGTTAATACTTTTTTTTTTAATCTTATTAGCAAAACCAAGAAAAAAAGAGGTGGAAAGAAGAAAGATAAACAAGATGATGATAATGATGATGAAAACTTTCCACCATTGAGAACAAGAGTGACAACAAAAGCATTGTACACTACTGTTAAATCTCTAAGCAGGGAACAGAAAGAATGTTTAGAAAGCTTAGGTTTCAAGGTAATCACATAAACATCACTTGATACCATTCCATCAGTTCTAGCACTTTTTGTTGTTGAAAGATATAACCCTACTTCAAACTGCATTGATTTAAGGGATATACAACTGAGAATCAATGAAGAAAAAATTCATCAGATCCTTGGAATACCAAAAACAGGAATAGATTTATCTACTGTGAATGAGTGTGAGAAAGATAATGAGATTATTTTCCAATGGAAACAACAACATCCTGATGTAACAAAATCACAACAAACTCTTTGTGAACTTATAGAAGCCTCGGAAGTCGCAGATGAAGACTAGAAAAATATAAACTGGTGCAAATATCTTAATGATGCTTTGCCACATAGTAGGACTTCATGGAAACCAAGAAACAAAGGCATCTACTATGTTGGACCACTCCCATTCTTGCTTGTAAGTAAAATTTAAATTAAATTGCATTGCATTGGATATAATCAAAGTGATTAAAATAAATAACCTTTTAATTTGTTACAAAATAATTTACAGCATCTCTATCTACATTCAACTAATTGTTAAAACCAACACGTCAACCGAAAAATAAGACCAATATGCTACGTGAATTATGGAAAATTTAAATCAAGGCACAACATTGAAAAAGCTCAAGGTCAGTTAGGATTGGTCTCATTGGTTGAAGACGTTGATTTGATACAATACAAAGATGAAGAATATGTTGACTACGTTAAAGAAAAAGAAAAAGGAAAACAAGTTGAAAAAGATGCAGATACAAAAGAAAATGATGACATTGGTGCAGAGGTAATAATGGAACTTACTCTATTAAGCTGTGAACTCAATCTTAAGTTGTGAATTGATTTTTATAAAAATGTACCTACAAACTAACAATAATTTAATACTTATTGCAGAATTATTGTCTTTTGATAGAAAGTGAGTTTAAAACCATTTTGGAGTGTAGAAACAGAATTCAAAAAACATTGGAGCATGCACTTCAAAAATATCCAGATGATAGAGAACTATGTGGATGGTTTGAAAGGTTTGTGAACATTGAAAAAATGTTTAACAAAGACATTGGTGAATCATCAAGATCAAGAGAAAAAGAAAATGAAAATGAGACAGGTGAAAAAGAGTTTGAAGATCGGTTAGAAACAGAAAAAGGTGAAGAATAAGCTACAACAGAAAGAGAATACGATAATCCAAACTTTGAAGATAAAATGCCAAACACACCAAATATAGAGGCTGACCAAAAAGATTATCTTACCAATGAATCTCAAGGAGAAGGTAATATCAAAAACAAAAATATAACTTAACAACAAACTTAAATTTTCAATTAAAATGATTGCTATGCAATACATATTATAGGAACAACAAACAACAAAGAAGAAAAAGGAAATGAAAAGAAGATACTTGAAGAAAAGAATGATCAAGGAAAAGGAAAAGAAGAAAAAGTTTATAAAAGATCAAAGAGGACAACAACTAAAACAAAGCCTTACCAATCACCTTACATGAGGCGGACAATTGAAATGAGAAAAAAGTTAGAAGCTGTTGAGACAAGGATTTCAAAATCCATATTCTCACTACAAAAAGATCACAAGTAAGTGAATGATTTTAATATAAATAATATTTAAAAAAACTTAATTAAATTTAATTGTATTAAGTTGTGAATAAAAATATAAATATGAACAAAATTAAAATAAAAACAATTTTTTTAACAATTTTTATTTTCTTTTTGATAAAAACAAACACTAATATTAGTATTCACAACTTAATAGATTTAAATTTAATAATTTTATATTAATCAAACAGGGAAATAATATTTGAAACAAAGCATGGGCATAAAGTGGAAAATATATTTTTTGAAACATTAATATCAAGTGCATGGATTCACCCAAAAGTAATCAACTGTTGGTCGATTTTATTGAATGATGAAGAGAAACGTAAAGCAAATACCACACCATTATGCTTCTACTTCCCAACAGGAATGATGGTAAGAAATATTTTAAAATATAAGTATAGAATTTTAATATTAATATAAAATAACTAATGATAATTTAATAAAATAACATTTTCATTTTTTCCTAGAGCAATGAAATGTTGGATAGAGATACAACATATGATAAGAGATTGGAAAAGTTTAAAGAATAACTGAATGAAGCAATGAAGAACTACCCACATCTGAAGGATTTTAAAAAAGTTGGAATTGTAAGAAAAAACTATTTAGTACTGTTTATTATAATTATATTGTATATATACAAATATTTATATTAAAGTATTAACATTTTCAACTATATTATTAATGCATATATTCTTGCCAATACTGCACAAAAAGCACTACTACATCATTTTTTTCAATTTGCAAAAATATAGTGTACATCTGATTGACAATGAAAAAACCATTAAAGATATTGTGCATACTTATGGAATGTTGCCATATTATTTGGTAAGTATTGATTAATAACTTAGCAAAAAAAGCAAATGTTTTTTATTAACTCTTAACTGTGAATTTTATATCTTATTATCCTTACTGATATTTTTTTGAATATAGTTAAATTTGATGATATCGTACTTGATTGATAAAAAACACCCAAAAGCAGACGATTTACTAAAGAAGGAAGTTGCGATTTTTAAACTAAAGTGGTGGACAGAAAACAACATGAACGACAGTGGAGTTATGTTGATGAGACATATGAAAACTTTCAAGGGACAAGGGCCAAATAACTGGGATTCTGAGATTGAAAAAAATATAACACAACAGAAAACCCAATTGACAAAGCTTCGATCAAAATATGTTACAAAGATCTTGGTGAATGATATCAATATCCATAGCAACAAGATAATAAAAGAAGGTCTTAAGTTTGAAAAGCTGACAAGAAGAACAAAAAACAAGTTGTGATTCATGGAATACAGAACTATGAGGAAAGGTTTCAGTTGATTGGTGAAGACTAAAAAATAAATATCTACTGTTTTTATTTTTATAAATGCTTAGGTGCTATTGAAGACTTCTATCTAGTTGAACAAATATGGTGTTTATGATGTTTTTATTTTGGATAATGTTTGCAGACATGGTGAACATGTTGGAATGATATATTTTCTAGTTAAATATGAATTTCTAGTTAATTATTGATGTTGATATAAAATTTATTAAGAAAATGAATGTTTATCATAACTTTGACAATTGTGAATGTTTAAATTAAAAAAAATGACTAAAGTATTAAGTTGTGAATATAATTTTTGAAATTTAAAAAAAAAAGATAAAATTTTAAAAACATTTGAATGCAATAAAATAAATATGTTTGACTACAATAATATAGATGATATATAATAATTAAGTTGTGAATAACATACACAAAATTTTTTAAACATAATTAAAAAAATTCACAGTTGTTAAATCTAATATATTGATATAATATCAGTAATCATAGATATTAATAATATCAAACTTAACAATGATTATTAAGTAAAAATCATTATATATAAACAAATAAAATTGTGAGTACAAAACAAATACTATTCAATTCAAAAAGATAAAAAAATCTTATATATAAAGAAACTATTATACATTAATGGCTTTTTCTCTAGCTCCTTTCAACCTCTTACTTGTACCACATCCTTTATTACTTATGTCATCTTAAGGATTTCCAATATCAGAAATAGATGGTTTCTTCACTCCATAGGATGACTCAACAAACTCAGAAATATCTTTTCTTTTCAACAATGAGTCTGAACAACTTGATGCAGAACAAACACCATCAACTTTCAACTTTGCTTCTTTAATGAGCTCAAATAACTCCTTAAGCTTATCTACATCTTTACTCAAAATAGACACATTTTCATCCACAAAACTCAAAACATGATGAGAAAGAAGATGATATAACAATGATGATGATGATGAGGCCTCATCACTTGAACATTGCTTCATAAGAACCTCAGATGGAATTACACCTTTGCACCAACGCCTAAGAATGTACTTTGAAGGAATCTTGTTTATTTGGTAAGTCCTAAAAACCACAAAATATATGCCTGCATAATATACCATGCTAAAAGAACAATGAACAAGAGCATTCAAAACTTGATTCCTTCTTGTCATAAACAACCTGTCCAAAATACACACAAACAAAAATATTAATAATTCACAACTTAAAAAATGAAAAACAAAAATAAAAAAAAATATATTTTACCTTGAAAAAAAAGTGTTTTCTGAAACAAAAAATTCACAATCACTTTCTGAATCTTCTTCATTAACAACTTTTCGAGTAGACCCCATAATATCTTTACATTGCATAACAACAAATCTATCATAAAATTCTTCATTCGTAACACTATGTTGCGAACATGAAAAATACATATTGTTCAATTTCTTTCTTCACTTTTATGAAAACTTCATTAGTATAGATATCAACAACACGTTCCATAATTTTTAGAGAAATTTTACTTTTAATCTTGGAAATATTGCTAAGATAGTCTAAGAAACATTGATTATGTCTTTGCATGTCCATAGCTGAATCAAAACAAGTGAAGAAGTTAACCAATGAATTACCCCAGTGAGAAATTTCGTTGAATGCAAAATTCATGCTCTCTGACCTAGAAGTGGTCCTCATCAAACCAGACAATGGCATGTCTCTAAAATATGCTGGAATCTAACTTTTGCTCATATCAAACAGTTTCGAAAACCTTGAAATCTCTTGGAGCTTATAATCTTCAATAAAACTTCTCCATCTAATATCAAACTCAGAAGCATCTATCCTAGAATTCAAAATTAGCTTATTGAAACGTTTCTTGAATTTCATATCATTAGAAAGTTCAGAACATACCTAAAGAACAGATACATAAAAAACATATATAAGATAATAAACTATAAAAAGATGATATAACTATTAAAATAGTGATAACATATACAATAAAATTCATATAAAATGATATTATTCACAACTTAAAAACATACTAACAGGTGAATATTTAAAAATACAAAAAAAAATTCACAACTTAATAAACATATAATAATTAACATAATAAAAAATGAACTAAAAATAATATAATTTAACAAAATTCAAATCATAAACAAAAAAACATAAAAAATCACAACTTAACCAAAACAGGAAACATTTAAAAAAAACAAAATATAACAACAAAAATATATAATGATAATATATACAAAATAAATAGTCTAAAAATTAAAATTATATACCTTAGAAGACAACTTTTGGGTTATGTGCCACATACATAACTGATGACGTGAATCAGGAAATATTCTCTCAATTGCAATTTTCGTTGCTGCATCTTCATCAGTGAGAACAACAGTCGGTTGTTTACCAAAAGTCTTCAAAAAAGTTTTAAGGAGCCATAAATAAAATTCTGTAGTTTCACTGCTCAAAAGACCAATTGCAAAAGTAACACTCTTTCTATGGTTATCGATTCATGTGAAACAAATACCATACGATACCTAAAAAATAAATATATAACAAAAGTTAATATAAAAACAACAAAAGAAAATAATATAATAAAACAAAATATAAAAAAATTACTTATTTGTCCGAAACGTAGCATCAAGAGAAACAACATCACCAAATTCTCTATAATTCGCCTTTGCAGGTTCATCAGCCCAAAAAAGTGAAACCAACTTTCCCTTATCACATATAGACTCAAATGTAAGGCTTGGATCATCTTTCATTTTATTTAAATACTTATCAACTACCGTATGTGCATCATCCTTTTCAATAAAACAATTCACTTTTCTAGATTGATTCTTGTAGTCAACAACAGTCCATCCAACATTGCTTGAGCCTCTTAATTCTTGCATTATTCTGTATGCTTTCATTGGACCAATCTTTACCCTTCCTATATTCTCAATGAATTCTTGAGCAGCATTGTCCAATTATCTGTTAGACCTCAAGAAATGCCTATAATCTTGTGTAACCAAATCATGATTATGCCTTTCTTCAAATTTGTATAGCTCAAAAACTTCTTAATTTCTTACTCTTCTAAATTTTGCAAAAGCTGGACATCCTTTCCTTGTAATATTAGAATTTCTGTGAGCTTTATTTTTTTAGAATCAGTTGTGTCTACATAAACACTTTGATGAAATCCTCTCTACTGCACAACATAGATCGATGAGTAAGAACATGTGAATTATTGTTTAACTGTGTAGAACCTTTTCTTACATCAAAACCAGCTTTAACAGCGTAAGCCTTATACATATTTATTGCATCATCAACACTTAGATATTTGTTATACAACTTTGGTTTAACATCATCAACATTATCAGGAATCCATATTTTACGAGTTCCGCCAGGAGAGAAAAATCATAAAATATAGGTTGACCAAATAAGAAAAATAAAAACATATATCAGATTAAAAGACACATATTATAAATAAATGAACAAAACAATTGAAAATTCATAGTATAATTACAAAGGGAAAATAAGATTATAATATATATATATATATATATATATATATATATATATATATATATATATATATATATATATATATATATATATAACATTTACATGTAAAAGCAACTACATAACAAAACAAATTCACATGTTAATAACAATTAGAACATCATAGTTATACTTAAAAAAACATTTATCAACTAAAAATACAAATATTATAAACAAAAAACAAAAAAAAAATTGAAAATTCACAGTGTAAATAGAAATAATAAATAAGATTAACAAATAAAAACACTATTTCATACATTTACATATAAAAATAAATACATAAATAAACAAAATCACATTATAATAACAGTTACAACTTCATACTTACAGTTAAAAAACCATTTATCATATTAAAATACAAAAATTATAAAAAAAAACAAAAAAATTAAAAATTCACAATGTAACTACAAATAATAAATAACATTAACAAAAAAAAAACACTCTTTATACATTTACAAACAAAAACAACTACATAACAAAACAATTCACATCTTAATAACGGATAAAACATCAATAGTTACAGCTCAAAAATAATGAAACTCGCTTTAATAAACAAAAAACAAAAAAATAGATTAAAGTAGACATTAATAACTTAAACAAATGAAAAACAAAAAAATAAGGAATTTTTTCATCTAAAAGATTTAAAAACGAATTAAACTAGTAACACAAGAAAACGAGATACCTGCTGCTGATTCACCTTCGATTCCAATATCATCATTAAATTCAGCTTGAAACTGACCTAAAGATTAAACATTAAATTGATCTGTTCCTGAACGATTAGAAAATTACTTTGAACACACATTGAATCCGACAGAGAAAACGATGATACTTCACCTTGAAAGCAACTGAAATCAGATCGAACTATCGACGAACACTGATCAATTTTGTCGATCAAATACCCTAATCTACTAGAATCACTTTCAGATAATGAATCTATATAAACTAAATCTATATGAAAATCAAACAATTTAAGATAATCGATTAACAGAATCGATCGATTCAATAAAAAATGAAGATCACATAAAATGAATGACGAAGAATTTTTGACGAATCTGTGTAGAAAATAGAGGACATCGACCATTCTCATTAAAAATAAATTTAATTAGACGTTTACTTTTTGTTTGCATGTTAATTACTAAAATACCCTTACAAAAAAATACTGAAAAATTTGCAATTGACAAAAATAACCTTTTAAACATTTCAATAACATATTTGGTTAAAATAATAAAAAATTTCATAATAACTTATAAATAAAAGGTTCTTACGGTTATTAATCTTTTTTTGTTCTCATTTTAACTTTTCTCTCTCTCTCTCTCTCTCTCTCTCTCTCTCTCTCTCTCTCTCTCTCTCTCTCTCTCTCTCTCTCTATATATATATATATATATATATATATATATATATGGTTAAGTTATTTTGTTTTTACTAACTATTGTGTGCCAAAATGCACAGA